CAGGACTATATAATGAATTCTAGATTAGTGCAGGCTACAAAGTGAGATACTGTCTCAAGAAAACCCCATAAACTAAGCAAATAAAAACTGTAGGACTAGCAGTACATGGTCTTTTCTGGGTCTATTTTCATTTATAACCATATTGGGGTTCTACAAGGGATGAGAGAAGAGTTGTGTATTGGATAGGAATGTAGTGGTGTCTACTGTTGCCTTCCTGTGCAGTGTTACTGTAAATCTACAGTCAGTTAAGTTTTATGTTCTACCTACTTCATGTGGGTGGTAAAATAGAATTGTTTATTTGTAAATTACCTTTAATTTTTTGCTTTGTGATGGGCAGGTAGTATAAACCAAAATTCATTCAAAATTTGTTGCCTTTTGTTTTTTTGTTAGAAACGCAGATTTTGTTTACCTTTTATATATTTATTTATTTATGTATTTATTTATTTATTTATTTTATGTGTATGAGCGTATTGCCTGCATGTATGTGAGTGTACCCGTGTCGTGCAGTGCTGCGGAGGTCAGAAGAGGGCTTCAGATTCCCCTGGAACTGGAGTTAAGGATGGTTCGTAGCCACCATGTGGGTGCTGGGAACTGAACCCAGGTCCTCAGTGCTCTTAATCGCTTGAGCCATCTCTCCAGCCCCTCTGTTTTACCTTTTTATTGTGAAAAATTTTAAGCATATTAAAAATGTTGAGGAAAATCCTTACTGAAATCCTTTTTTGTTGTTGTTCCTTTTGAGACAGGGTCTCCCGGTAGCCCCAGCTGTCCTGGAACTCACTATGTAGACCAGGCTGGCCTTGAACTCACAGAGATCCACCAGCCTCTGCCTTCCAAGTGCTGGGACTAAAGGCATCTGTCACCATCTGGCTTCTCCATTGTTTTTTCTGTTACTGTTTTTTTTGTTGTTTGTTTTTTACAGGGTCTCCCTGTAGCCCCAGCTGACCTGGAACTCACTATGTAGACCAAGCTGGCCTCAAACCCACAGAGATCTGCCTGCCTCTGCCTCCTGGGTGTTGGGATTTAAGGTGTGTGCCACCACCCAGCTTCTCCATTGTATTTTTTTTTTAATTTATTTTAATTAAAAGAAGCATTTCATTACAACAGCATTAACCTATTCAATAACATTTTTCTGAGCTAGGGTACATCTCTTTCAAAATTGGCTGGAGAGTGTTTTCTTTACAGGTATGAAACTGGGTAGACTGACCAGGCCCCAGGGAACAGACCCACACTGAAGAGCATTTGGGAACACAAATTAGATTTATAGGTCTTTAAAAAGTAATAATAGAAAAATTCATTTCAGGGCTCTTGACATTGAGACGTTTTCACATGCATTTCTAATCTCTATATACATGACTATCACTGGTCACAGTCACCCACCTTCTGAGCTCCTCGGCATCTGAGCATGAATACAAACTCGTCAGGTAGACAGCCTTCCTCTCCCACTATAGCCTCCATACTCTGCTATCCCTGCCACTGTCCACTGTGCTGTCAGCACCCCCATCCATTCCCCCCTATCTGCCCTTCTGGTAAATCTAGTCAGCCAGAGGTCCCTGTTCCAGGAGGATCCGCTGTTCCTTATCAACGGCAATCCATTGTCAGTATTCCTTTGGATAGAATTGGGGTCTTCCATTGTATTTTTTAAGACAGGGTCTCTCACTGAATCTAGAGCTCACTGATTGGCTAGCTAGCAAGTTCAGGGGGGCTGCCTCTCTCCCCACCCCTCCCCCAGCATTAGAGTTACAGACACATGCCACTGTTGCCCCTGATTTTTTATATGGGGTCCCAGGATCCAAACTCAGAACCACATGCGTTCATGGCAGGTATTTTTCTGATGGAACCATCTCCCTAGTCCCGTTCATATTATTTTAAAGAACTCTCAGAATTAAAAAAAAAATATCATTTTGGGAGGGTCTACATACCATGGCATGCTCGGTAGAAGTCAGGGGACAGCTTTATGGAGTTGGTTTTCTCCTTCTACCTTTTACATGGATTCCAGGGATTGAACTCAGGTTACTAGGCTATACCTACTCAACCACCTTGCCTGTCCCAGAATTCATTTTTTTAATATGTTATTATTTTTATGTGTACAAGTGTATTGCCTGCATGTATGTGAGTGCACCCGTGTCATGAAATGCCGCAGATGTCAGTAGAGGGCTTCAGATTCCCCTGGAACTGGAGTTAAGGACTGTTCGTAGCTGCCATGTGGGTGCTGGGAATTGAACCCGGGTCCTCTGCAAGAGCAGTCAGTGCTCTTAACCACTGAGCCATCTTTCCAGCCCCTCAGAATTCATTTTTTTGTTCATTAATACTTTGCTATATGTCTTGATAAAGACTTCTCCATGCACCCCCATTTTAGGGATTGAACCCAGGACCTTGCTCATGCCTGGCAAATGGTCTGCCTGTGAGCTATATCCCTAGCCCCACTTTACTTCCCACTTTTTATTTTGAGGCAGTCCCACCAAGTTGCCCAAATTGGACTTGAACATACTTGAGTTAAAATGTGCCTTGAACTTGTAGTCCTCCTGCCTTAGCCTTCTGAGTAGCTGGGATTACAGGCCTGTGTCACAAAACCCAGCTAAGTCCTTATTTTCATTTTTTGAGTTCTTTATTTTTATTTAATGTGTATGAATGTTTTGCCAGATTAATATATTTATGAGTATCACATGCACACCTGATACTTGTGGAGTCCAGAAGGAGGTCTGAAACTTGAGTTACAGACAGTTTGTGAGCTGCCATGTGGGTATTGTGAACAGAACCCTCGTCCTCTACAAGAACTAAGTGCCCTTAATGGTTGAGCCATCTCTCCACCCTCCCAAGTCCTTTATTTTTTTAAAAAAATATATAAGAATAAGCTGGGTGTGGTGGCACACACCTTTAATCCCAGCACTCGGGAGGCAGAGTCAGGCAGTTTGTGAGATCCAGACCAGCCTGGTCACAGGGAGGCCCTAACTCAAAAAGATTTTTTAAAAAACTGCCTTAGTTTAAAAAAACTACCCTTAAATTAACAGTAATATCTTTGTTGAATTTTTGTGTATTTCATACACAAGGACCCACACTCTGTGGACTCTTATTCTGTGTTTTGGCCTCTTTTGTGTTCCTGGCCCTCTGCTGCATGAGGGAGCTTCATTGATGAGAATTGAAAGATGCATTATTGTTCTCTTCATCCCTTGTTCTATGAGTAATTCCCTTAATATAATACAGGATGTGACTTCAGCACACACACACACACACACACACACACACACACACACAGTCACTGTAGTATGCTTGAGTGCCAATCTTTTACTCATGTATTATGGTGCTGAGTCAGGAGGAAGAAGATTGAGAGAGAGTTCAAGACCAGCCTGAGCCCCATAGTGAATTTGAGGTTGGACTACCTGAGACTCTTGTCTCAAAAAACAAAACCAAAAGTTGGTCTAAAAAATAAACAAAATTAAAAAAAAAAAAAAACAACAAAGTTCCATTCAAGTGACCAATGCTTTGTGACTTTTATTCACTGAAATTTGTATTATTCAAAATTTAACAAGATGCCGGGCGTGGTGGCACACGCCTTTAATCCCCGCACTCGGGAGGCAGAGGCAGGTGGATCTTTGTGAGTTCAAGGCCAGCCTGGTCTACAGAGTGAGTTCCAGGCAGCTGGAGCTACAGGGAGACCAAACAAACAAACAAAATTTAACCAGAAGAGTAGAATTTTCTCTAGCATTGAGATGGCTCAGCGTATAAAGGCACTTCCCACCTGGGCACTTCCTACTAATCCTGATGAGCTGAGTCCAATGCCAGGAACCCACATGGTGGAAAAAGAATAAACTCCTGAAAGTTGTCCTCTCATTTCCACATGTGTGCGCTGTGGCCCGTGCACACCCACCCACATGCATATTGTTTTAGTTTGCTTTCTGTTGCTGTGATAAAACAGTGACCAAAACCAACTTGGGGAAGAAAGGGGTTTATTTCATCTTACAAGTTACAGGCCATGTTGAGGGAAGTCAGGGCAGGAACTGAAAGCAGGAACTTGGATCTAGGAAGCCTGTGGGCATGTCTATGAGGCATTTTCCTGATTGTTGAGTGATGTGGGAATACCCAGGTCACTGTGGGTGGGGCCACCCTGGGCAGGTGGTCCTGAGCTGTATAAGAAAGCAAGTTGAGCACAGGCCAGAAGAGCAAGCCAGTAAGCAGCTCTTGCAGAGGACCCAGGTTCAATTCCCAGCACCCACATGGTGGCTAGCAACCATTCCTAACTCCAGTTCCAGGGGAATTTGGTGCCCTCATCTGACCTCTGGGGACATTGCATCACATGAGTGCACTTGCATACATGTAGGCAATATACTCATACACATAAAATAAAAATGAAATATTTTAAAAAACTATAATTCTGATATTTTTCTTACCCACAAATAATCTATTTTCTTGACTTTGTTCATTTTGATGCCAAAAATGCCTGAGCTTAAAATACCGTTGTGCAGCCAGGCTTGGTAGCGCATGCCTGATTTAGTCCTAACACTCAAGAGGCAAAAGCAGGTGGATCTCTGTGAGTTCAAGGCCAGTCTGGTCTATATAGTGAGTTCAGGCCAGCTGGGGCTACAGCGAGATCCTATCTCAAAAAGATGCTCCACTCCCTCCAAAAAAACCCAATGTGCTAGGTACTAAGAGAGCCTTGTGTTGTGGCTTTGTTTATGAGACAGGGATTTTCTCTGTCTCCCAGGGTAGCCTCAGATTTCCATCAGTCGTCTTGCTTCTGCCTCCTAAGTATTGAAATGATAGTCATGTGTCACCATTTCCAACTTCATGATAGCTTTTTACTTTTATTTTTAAAATATGTTTCAATTGGCTTTCTAAAGAAGTCCTTGCCGTCCAATAGCTTGATGTTTAGTGCATGAGACAGATTGAGCTTCAGCAGGGAATAATAATGGCAAGTTGACTATTATATTTTTACCCCTGTTTGATTTGGTTATTCTTTGGTTTAACTATCTTTCCACCTGTTGTTTTATGACTGCATCTCACAGGAGAGCCTTATAGATGCAAGTGAAGACAGCCAGCTAGAAGCCGCCATCAGAGCCTCCTTGCAAGAGACACATTTTGATTCAACACAGACAAAGCAGGATAGCCGTTCAGATGAAGAATCTGAATCTGAACTTTTTTCTGGCAGCGAGGAGTTCATTTCTGTTTGTGGTTCAGATGAAGAAGAAGAGGTAGAGAATCTTTCTAAGTCCAGAAAGTCTCCTCACAAAGATTTGGGGCATAGAAAAGAGGAGAACAGAAGGCCACTGACTGAGACTTCAGCCAGAACTGAGCCTGGGACAGCCACAAACCATCAAGGATTGCCAGCTATGGATCCCGAGATCTTGGAGCTATCACCTGAAAAGTCAGATGGAGTAGTGGAGGGGATAGATGTAAATGGTAGGTTACAGTATCAACCTACTTAGTAAAACTTGAGTATTAGTGAATGATTTGCTTCAATTATTTGATCTGCTATATTAAACAAATATTTTTTTGACTCTTCCCTTAGGACCAAAAGCACAGCTGATGTTGCGGTACCCAGATGGAAAAAGGGAACAGATCACTCTTCCAGAACAAGCTAAACTGCTAGTGAGTTTATCTAATTAAAACATTTTTGAAACAGAGAAACTGTTTGTAGTACTGGGGATTAAACTAATAACCTAATGCATGCTAGGCAAGCCTTCTAATACTAAGCCATAACTTCACTGCAGAGAATGTAAATAATTGAATTAATCCAGTAGGCATCGCTTTATTCTTTGAAATCAGTATTGGGTATCTAATCTCTAACTGGAAACTTAACTATGGCAGGTCATGGGTTGGTTTGTTTGAGACAGGTTTTTTTTTGTGTGTGTTTTGTTTTAAAACTCCATAGCCCAAACTGGCCTGGAACTTAAAGTAGTTCTTTTACTCAGTTTCCCAAGTGCTGGAATTACAAACATGAGCAACCATGCCTGGCTTAGTCTTATTTTTAAATAGTTTATTTCCTTCTCACATTATCTTCAGCAAGTCACAAGCCAGTCAAAGCTTTTCTGTTCTGCATCTATGTGGAATACAAACCCAGCTGAAATGATTACTTCTGAAAAAGGAGTGGATTTATCTGAAGACTATAGTGGGGATCTTGAGTTTCTTTTTTTTATTTGGGACAGGGTCTCCCTGTAGTTCCAGCTGGCCTGGATCTTGCTATGTAGACCAGGCTGACCTATGTCTTATAGAGATCTGCTTGTGTCTGCTGTGCCCCCCGCCTGCTGGGATTAAAGGCATGCACCATTGTGCCAGGCCATCTTGAGTTTCATAGTAGCTGTTACTACAAAGTGGTTAAGAAGTGGTTAAGAAAGCATGGTGGTGCACGACTTTAATCCCAGTGCTTGGGAGGCAGAGGCAGGTGGATCTCTGAGAGTTCAAGGCCAGCCTGGTCTACATAGTGAACCCAGGACAGCTGGGGCTACAGGGAGACCCTGTCTCAAAAAAAAAAAAAAAAAAAAAAAGTGGTTAAGAACCACAAATAACATCTCCAGCCAAGTGTGAAATTGTATGTAATTGTGTTATAGGATTCTGCCCAGGTTAAAGGGCTTCTCAGAGCTTCTATTATGAACCTCATTTCTCAGGTATTTTGTTTTTGTTTCAGTTTTTAAAAATCTGAATTA